ACACTGAGTGTTATATGTTAGTGAAGAATCACTAAATTCTGCTCCTGAAACCAATATTACAATATATGTTAACTGACTAGAATTTAAATAAAAACTTAAAACAAAAATCCAAGTTAAAATTTTATTTTTACCCTAGAAAGTTGAAATAAATATCTCTTACCCGGGGTGGTGGGTGGAAGAAAAGAAGTAGTAGGATATTCTTTTAAAAAAATTAAAAGATAGTGAGGCACCTGGGTGGCTCAGTTGGTTAAGCCTCGGCCTTCGGCTCAGATCATGATCCTAGGGTCCTGCCTGGGATCAAGTCCCACATCGGTCTTCCCGCTCAGCGGGGAGTCTGCTTCTCCTTCTCCTTTTGCCTCTCTGCCCCTCCACTCCACACCTATGCTTGTGCTCTCTGTCTCTCAAATACATCTTAAAAAATAAAAATAGAAATAAAAATAAAATAGACAAAGAGCTCTTAAAATGCAATAATAGGAAAACAATCCAATGAAAAAGGGCAAAATATTTGAACAGACACCTCACCAAGAGATCTATACGTGGCAAAAAAGAATATGAAAAGATGTTCAACATCATACATCATTAGGGAAATGAATTTTTTTTTTTGGTGGGCAGTAAAGCAAACTTTATTGAGCAAGAGTACTGAGCAATAGTACAAAGCACCTGAAGAGGGAGGGTACCCGAGAAGGTTGCCCAGGAAATTAAAATTATAATAGAAATGCGATCACAGTGCAGACCTATTAGAATGGCTAAAATCCAAAACACAGACAGCACCAAATGCTGGCAAAGAGAGCAACAAGAACAACAAGAGCTCTCATTCATTGATGATACAAATAAAAAAAAAAATGGTACAGCCACTGTGAAAGACAATTTGACAGTTTCTTACAAAACTAAATTTACTCTTGCCATGTAATCTACCAATTGTGCTTTTTGGTAATTGCCCAAATTATTTGAAAAGTTATGTACACAAAACCTGCTCTCAAATGTTTAAAGCAGCATCATTAAAAATTGACAAAGTTGGGGGGCACCTGGGTGGCTCAGTCACTTAAGCGTCTGCCTTCAGCTCAGGTCCTGATCCCAGGGTCCAGGAATCAAGCCCTGAGTCAGGCTCCCTGCTCAGTGGGGAGTCTGCTTCTCCCTCTCCCTCTGCCCCTCCCACATTTGTGCTCTCTCAGGTGTGCTCTCTCTCTCTGAAATAAAAAAAAATCTTAAAAAAATAATTGACAAAGCAGGGAGGAAGCCAAGATATCCTTCAATAGGTTAAAAGATAAAAAAAGCTGTGGTAAATCCACACAGTGGAATCTTATTCAGCACTAAAAATAAGTGAGCTATTGCATCATGAAAAGACACAGAAGAACCTTAAATGCATACTGCTAAATGAAAGAAGCCAATCTGAAAATGCTACATACTGTATAATTTCAACAATAAAACATTCTGGAATAGGCAAAAATATGGAGACCATAAAAAGATCAATAGTTGCTAGGGGTTTGCAGTGTGGAAGGATGATGGAGGGATGAACAGGTGGTGCCCACAGACTTTTCTGGCAGTGATAGCATGATAGTGTAATGATGGATTCATGTCATTATACATTTGTCAAAACCCACAGAATGCACAATACATTGGCTCACCAATCATATCAATGTATCTCACTAATGCAAATGTTAATAGTAGAGGAAACTGTATGCTGGCAAATTAGGGATATATGGGAACTCTGTACACATATTCAATTTTTCTTTAATCCTGAGACTGCTCTAAAAATCAAGACTCTTCATATAAAAAAGTGACCCAGGGTCCCCCAGATTATTTTTAATTAAAGAAGTACAAAGGCTGCATCCTTGCTCTTTAGGAAAGTCACCAGGAACATCTACATAAAACACCATACTTCTAGGACATTCCAGAAGCTTTCATTGGAAAATCCTCCAAAAGAATAAAATTTGGACTATGTCCAGGGTTACAAATCCCCAGGTTTGGTAATTCTGTAGAGGGACTTAAAGGACTCAAAATATAGTCATACTCACGGCTAGTATTTACTTTAGTCAAAGAATATAAAGCAAAATCTGCAAAGGGAAAAATACATGGGATGAAGTCTAGAGGAAACTAGGTGAAAGCTTACAAGAGTTCTCCCTTAGAAGAGTCACACAGGACACAACTAATTCCTCCAGCAAGAACTTTTAACAACACATGTGAAATTTTGTCTACCATGGAAGCTCTTGAGACTCAGTGCCCTAGGTTTATATTGGGGGCTGTACAGAGGCACCCACTACTAAGCATATACCAAAATTCCAGACTCCCAGAAGAAAATAAGATGTTCAACATAAACCACATTGTTTGTAGAGGCAGTCTAGGCACAGTGAGTCACTCTTACCATTTAGGGAAAATTTTATATCTGCGTAAGAAACTGTTCACTAGCCAAGTTCCCAGATACAAGCCAAGAGCTAATCTTGTAGTCAGATTTTTCTAATCATAGTAGACTTGGCCTATTATGTTAACTCTTTTCTGCTTAGGAACCTGACCCAGAATAGATGCAAAAGGAAGGAAACAAAAGAATGCAGAAGGTAAATGACAGAAGACCCCAGACTATTCCAGTTCAAGGAAGAAAAGTAGTCCTTCACCTTTTCAATACTAAGTCTATTCACCACTGAGGTTCCTGACTCATCAATTTGAAACACCTCACATGACGTAATGGATATTCACCAAAACACGTATCAGGAGATAAGCTTCAGCTTTGTCACAATCTGTGTAACCTTGGACAAGATGATTTCTAAGAACTTTCCTAGCTCATGTCAGACCTTATTCATTTGAGTGTCTCATTTTATACTTGAATCTAAAATATCTTCATCTTTTACTGGATCTATTATCCAACACAAGGATCTATCCATTAAAAAGTTGTATTTTTTAAGGGTCTATTTATTTTAGAGAGAGAGAGAGAGAGAACCCATGTGACTGGGGGGGAAGGGCAGAGGGAGAGGAAGAGAGAGAATCTGAAGGATGCTCCTTGCTCGGTGCAGAGCTCAATCCCATGACCCTAAGATCATGATCTGAGCTGAAATCAAGAGTCTGATGCTTAACTCACCGAGCCACCCAGGTGCCCTGCCATTGAAAACAGTTTAAAATCAGTTAGTTCCTTCCCTTCCTTCCCCAGTGCCACTCTTGTGACTTAGACCCTCTCCCCTAGATCATTGCAATAGTTCCCTAAACTGGTTTTCTTGCTTCCACCCTGTCAGGGGTCTAATTCATCTTACAACCTCAGACACTTCAAGCTTCTTAAAACAGAATTCCACTCATATTGCTTGTACTACCAAAAGTGCTCAATGATCCTCCCAGGCCCGAGAGAATTCAATACAAACTCCTGAGCCTATTACTCCATAATATGACCTCAACTTCCCTGATCCTATCTTGTCTTTCACTACTCTCCAATAGCAATGAAAATTCTGGTCAAACGTCCCCAAACGTACTCCATGTTTTCTATTCTTGGGACCATTTCCCTCCATGTGAGAGGTCCATTTCTCCATTTCTATCAAAGGCTTTACCTTTTGTTGAATGGGCACCAGTATGGTGCCAGGGCAAATCTCCACATCCAGATGTAAGGTTTTTATTCTCCAGACACCTTCCCACCCCTACAAGGACACCACATACACATTCATGTTACAGTATGTAAAAATTCTACTTGTTTAAGTGTCATGTGTATTCTTATTTTAGCATTCCAATTATAAGCTGCAGAAGGACAGGAAGTATGTCTCATTGACTTTGTAGTCCTGTTGCACCCAGCATAGTGCCTGGCATGTGGTATGCACTCATGGAATAGTGGCTTATTTGAACTGAAGTCACTGAAAGTCCATTAAAAAAAAGGTAATGTTGGAGTATCTTGGGAAAAATGTAGAAGACCTGCTCCTGATCTACCAAATACAACACTAGTTTAACTTTATCCTCATGTGGATTCTGGAATCAGAAACATAGAACTGAAAGGGACTCTGGAGATCACTGAGTACCACTCTTCCTTTGACAGAAAGGGAAAATGAGGCCAAGAAAAAAATATGTTCTCCAAAGTCACACCATGAAAGATAAGAAATAACAAGTGTTGGAGAGGATGTGAAGAAAAAGGAACCCTCATCTACTGTTGGTGGGAATGTAAACTTGGGCAGCTACTGTGGAAAACAGTATGGAGGTTCCTCAAAAAATTAAATTAAAGAATTACGATATGACCCAGTAATTCTACTACTGGGTATTTATACAAAGAAAATGAAAACACTAATTCAAAAATATATATGCACTCCTATCTTTATTGCAGCATTTACAACAGCTAAGATATGGAAGCAACTTAAATATTCATTGATAGATGAATGGATAAGGAAGATGTAGATATTGGGATATTAGACAGGCATGAAAAATGATGAGCTCTTACCGTTTGTGACAGTATGGATGGCCCTAGAGGGTACTATGCTAAGTGAGGTAAGTCAAACTGAAAAAGATTAATACCATATAATTTTACTAATATGTGGTATCTAAGAAGCAAAACAAATGAATAAACAAACAAAAAGTAGAATGAGACTATAAATACAGAGAAAAAACTGATGGGGGTGGACAAAATATGTGAAAGGGAGTGAGAGATACAGACTTCTAGTTATGGGATGAATAAGTCACAGGAATAAAAGGCACAGCATCAGGAATATAGTCAATAATATTGTAATAGTCTTGTATGGTGAAATTTTATTTTCTCAAACTTGCATTTTATTGCTTACATAAACACGATTTATGTATTAAATTATTTATTCTAATGTCCAAAACACAAACAACAACAAAAATGTCACACGGTGAGTTACTGGAGGAGCTGCCTTGAGAACTCAAGACTCCTGAGTTCCAGGCAAAGATTTTAACTGTAAGTACTACTATTATAGTGGATCCCTGCTGAGGCAGGGCAGGAAGAGAGCCTTGGAATAGGAAGATGCCAATGTTACCAAGACACAGCCAGCAAAGGAAGATGGGAACAGACTTTTTGAACATACCTCCTGTAACTGAGATTCTTTCTTTTTGGAAGATAGATGTAAGTGCCGATCCAGCAAGGAATAAAACCTCTCACCATCCTTTTCAAATTTTTTTTTCCGCTCCTACATGTGGGAGAGAAAACACACATTAAGATATCTATATAAGTTTTTAATTCACTCTGCTCAGAATTAAGAATGAAAGATGCAGTGTCAGGATTCATCTCTCTAGCCTCTGGGAAGAACACAGAAAGAATTTGCTTTAGCATTGGTCTCAGCAGTTTCCAATCTCTCTAGCCTCTGGGAAGAACACAAAAAGAATTTGCTTTAGCATCGGTCTCAGCAGTTTCAATTTCCTCAAATATAACCCTGAATCATTCCACCTACACAAACGGCAATTCCTATTAGTATACCTGAAGGCTCTGGGAGCTGCTGCTCCAAAAATGACACTTAAAATGGGCCGGTACACTTGTTACTTTTTCTTCTTCCCAGTATTTTTCTTATTTTTTTCACATGCATTAACTACTCCCTCATTTTTTTCAAAGGAGAAAGAAGGAACACAGTGGTGAATTCAATATATGCCTTTAAAAGTCATACACAGGGTGCCTGGGTGGCTCAGTTGGTTAAGCGACTACCTTCGGCTCAGGTCATGATCCTGGAGTCCCAGGATCGAGTCCCACATCGGGCTCCCTGCTCAGCGGGGAGTCTGCTTCTCTCTCTGACACTCTTCCCTCTCGTGCTCTCTATCTCTCATTCTCTCTCTCAAATAAATAAATAAATAAAATCTTAAAAAAAATAAAAAAAATAAAAATAAAAGTCATATACAGATTGAGGGAAAAGATGGTGGAGGAGTAGGGGACCCTATTCCAACCAGTCCCCAGAATTGAGCTGGATACCTACCAGATCACTCTGTGAACACCCATGAAATCAGCTGAGATGTAAGAAGATACATCTGGATCTCCACAAACAAAATATCGCAGGCGTCTGGTTTGGAGGTAGGAAGCGGGGAACTGTTATTCTGCAGGCAAATATCGGAGGATAAACGGAAGGGGGAGGGAGCCAAGCCATGGGGATCCTACACCACCGGTGAGCAACAGCCTCCCATGCTGAGGACAGAGCACCGGGCCTCCTCTTTTCTTTCTTGTCTATTAATTGGTCTTCTAGATCACTAATTCGTTCTTCTGCCTCACTTACCCTAGCTGTTAGATTATCTAGATTAGATTGGATCTCACTGCTTGCATTTTTAAGTTCTGCCAATTCAGCTTTCATTTCTCCCCTTAGAGACTCTATGTTGCCATTAATGGATTTCTCCATTCCAGCTATGGTCTTCATGATTGCTAGTCTGAATTCCATCTCCGACATCTTGCTTATATCTGAATCCATTTGTAAATCTGTGGCATAAGTCATATTCTCTGAGTCTTTCCTATTTTGGGGGTTCCTCCTCCTAGTCATTCTGTTGAGGGGTGGTTGAGGCAATGTATAGAGTCCAAATTATTGACCAGAACCCAAGCAAGATGCACCTGTTTTCTAGGGACCTTAGGGTTGCTGGCCTCTTGTTCTTCCAGCCTATCTTCTGGGAGAGGGGCCTGCCACACTGTTACTCAGGCAACCCTGTTTGGGCAGAGTTGCCCTGCCCCACTGTGGCAGGGCATGAACTCAGTGAGAACCGGTTTTTTGCGGCTTTTTTTCTCTGGCGGCTTTCCCTGGTGACTTTCTGCATATCTTCCAAGAGTCAGAGCAGAAGAGACCGTTTCCAACCCTCTGCCTCAGAGCAGAGAGATTGCAGTCTGTTCTTCAGTGAGCTCTCCAGTCCAGTTTCTCCGTTTCTGTCTGTGCTGCTATAAACTGCAGCATCCTGGATTGTGCACCCCTCCACAGTGCTCCCAGTCCTGCCTCCAGGTCGGGGCACGTCTCTGCCCTTTGTGCTTCTAAAACCATCAGCCACTCCTAGTTCGCACGCATGACCCCACCGCTGTGGTTTCTGTCCAGGAAGCTGCCCTAAAGTCCTTTGCCCGCCCATACCGGTTTGCGAGTCTGTGCCGCATCCCTAGCGCAGGAGGTTATCGCTCACCAGTGGTGTAGGATCCCCACGGTCAGGCTGCTTCCTGCTGCTGTTTATACTCTGATATCTGTCCATGGAATCATGGCTCCCCAGTTCGAACCTCGAAACCAACCACCTGCAATCTTCTGTTTGTAGAGATCCAGATCTATCTTCTTGCATCTCAGGCTGATTTCATGGGTATTCACAGAGTGGTCTGGTAGATATCCAGCTCAATTCCGGGGACCAGTGGAATAGGGTCCCCTACTCCTCCGCCATCTTTTCCAAATCCCCTGAATACCCAACTTTTATATCAACATGGATGAGACTGGAGGAGATTATGCTAACTGAAGTAAGTCAAGCAGAGAAAGGTTTCACTTATTTGTGGAACATAAGGAATAGCACGGATGACATTAGGAGAAGGAAGGGAAAAATGAAGGGGGGGGAATCGGAGGGGGAGACGGACCATGAGAAACTCTGGACTCTGAGAAACAAACTGAGGGTTTTAGAGGGGAAGAGGGTGGGGTGATCTGTTAGCCTGGTGATGGGTATTAAGGAGGGCACGTACTGCATGGAGCCCTGGGTGTTATACGAAAACAATGACGTGTGGATCTCTACATCAAAAACTAATGATGTATGGTGACTAACATAACAATAAAATAAAATTTAAAAATAAAAGTCATATACAATGCATTTAGACAGACTAATACTAAGCAAAACTTTTCCAAGGCAATAGGAACCTTGGACTGTCTCTATATATGATGAGTTCTTTGATACTGTTTAAGCATTTTACCACTGCCCTATTAAAAGATGATGTTACAAATGAGGAAACAATCCTGGAAAGTGTAGCCAGAAAGCAAGAGACAAAAAGCTTTATGGAGGATGGAGGACTCAGCCGTCACTCTCCTTAAGTATGAAATTTAATTAAGTTCTCTGCCTCAGCACAACTGGAAGTCACACAGCTCCAAAGGAGCATTAACAATGCTCATTTGTCACACACTAATGCTGACACACTGCAATCCTCTCAACACCATGCTGAGAAATTCATGTAAAGGGCCTGTGTTGTGTCATAGTAAATCCAAATTCACTGAGCACCTACAGAGTGCCAGTTACTAGAAGAGGCACAGCAAGAGACACACAGGCAAAAAGAAAAAAAAAAAAAAACCTCACACATGATTTATTTCTAGAGGCAATCTGTTCCTGGGCAGGAAGCCAGGACGGAGCTCAGTGACCTCTGACCTGGAAGGAAAGTGTTTTTTCCCAAGATAAAGAAGCAGAGAGGAAACTAACATTAACTGAGGCCCACATCAGGTCAGGCAGTGAAGTAGGTACTTATAATCCATTATTTCATTTAGTCTTCACAACCCTGAGAAGTAGCTATTGTAAAGGAACTTAAGGTTTAAAAAAATGAACTAACTTGTCCAAGGTCATATAATATATAGATCTATTTGATTTCTTCCACATAGTCAAATAGAGCCCAGATGATCATGAGAGGAATTACACTCAGGAGGCCTGTAAATAACCAGGAAACCTTGTGAATAAAACTCAAGTAGGTCTATAGCCCTAGCCCACACTCATACCAAATCACATGAGATAGAAATTTTCCCACAAAACACAGGTAAGACACACCGTTCCTCCAGCTGGTGAATCTATTTAAAGTAGCAATTCTTTAAAGAAAGGATTAGAGCCAGAAAATGTCAGTGAATTCTCTAAGAACAGATAAAGTTCTGTTGGCCACTTCCTCCTCCAATTCAATTTTTAAAATAAAAACTATAAAATGTAATTCACATATAAAATTCATCCTTTAAAGTGAACAATTCAAGGTTTTTAGTGTATTTACAAAGTTGTGCAACCATCACTGCTGTCTAATTCCAGAATATTTCCATCACCTAAGAAAAACCCTATACCTATTAGTAGTCATTCCCCCCTTCTCCTAATACTCCCCTCAAAAGCCAAAATTTAACTTTTGTCTCTGTGTATTTGTATACTCTAGAGGTTTCATATAATTCTAGTCATACAATATGTGATCATTTGTGCCTGTCTTGTTACACTTAACATGTTTTCAAGATTCATTCATGTTGTAGCATGTATCAGTACTTCATTCCTTTTTATGGCTGAATAATATTTGATTGTATGGATATACCACATTTTCTTTATAAATTCACATTGATGGACATTTGGGTTATTTCCATTTCCTCAGCAATTATGAATAATGCTGCTGTGAACATTCATGTACAAGATTTTCTGTGGTCATGTTTTCAATTCATTTGGGCATATATATATATACAAGCAGTGGAACTGCTGAGTGATATGACAACTCTATGTTTAACTATCTAAGGAACTACCAAACTGTCTTCCAAAGCAGGTGTACCATTTTACATTGTCAACAGCAAAGAATGAGAGTTCCAATTTCTGAACATCCTTAACAACCCTTATGTGACTTTTAGGTTACAAATAACCTCTTGGGTGTTAACTTGCATTCACTGTAGTTTGACTTGCATTTCCTAAATGACTAATGATGTCTTTTCATGTGTTTATTGACCCTTTGTGTATACATGTATATACACACACATATATATATTCTTCAACAAAATGTTTATTGAATTATTTTGCCCATTTGTAAATTTGTTTTTTTATCTTTATATTTTCAAGTTACAAGAATTTGTTATATAACTCTGAATACTAGCTGTGGTGTATTTTCTCCCATTCTTTGGGTTGTTCTGGCACTTTATTGGTAGAGTCCTTTGAAACATGAACATTTTTAATTTTGTGAAGTTCAATCAGCCTATTTTCTTCAATTTCTTGTGTTTTTGGTGTCATATCTCAGAAAATGTTGCCCAATCAAAGTTCATGAAGATTTATAGCTGTGTTTTTTTCCAATAACTTTATATTTTTTGGTTTTAATTTTTGAATGCAGTGTGATATAGGGCTCCAACTTCATTCTTTTGCATATGGATAACCAGTAGTCTCAGAACCATTTGTTCTAAAGACAATTCTTTCCATATTAAATTGTTTTGGCATTCTCAGAAAATCTCAATCAGCCATAAATGTATAGGTTTATTTCTGGACTCTCAGTTCTATTCTATTC